ATGTCACTAATTCTTGAGATGGAATGAGTTCTTGGATTAAGTGTTTAATCTTCATTCTAAACTAGCTCAGCAGCTCTGTTGGAAGAGCTCATTGTAGGGCAAGTGTTACGGAAGAAGGGAGGGAAGAGTTAAGAGTAATTTGGTTTATAGCAGATTGATTGTTTTTTATGTTAAAAAATAGAGGTTTTGTTTATGGAGATGAGGGGTGGGTGTTAAACTTTTTTGTTTGTTTTTGAGACTGAGCACATACCAAAATTTTTTTTAAAAGACTTAGAATTTAGGTCCCTATGATCAGAACTTTAATCCTCTATGACCTAAATATCTTCTTTTTTTTTTGTTTGTTTTTGTTTTTGTTTTTTTTTTTATTTTGGCATATTATGGGGGTACAGATTTTAAGGTTTCAATAAATGCCCATTTCCCCCCCTCCCCCCAAAAGTCTGAGTCTCCATCATGACCATCCCCCAGATGGTGCACATCTCACTCATTATGTATGTATATACCCGCCCCCCCTCCCCAATACCCTATTACTGTAGCACCTGTGTGTCCACTTAGGTGCTACTCAGTTAATACCAGTTTGCTGGAGAATATATCTGATGCTTGTTTTTCCATTCTTGGGATACTTCACTTAGTAGTATGGGTTCCAGCTCTAACCAGGAAAATATAAGATGTGCTATGGATTTTATATATGTGTCTTCTTCTATTTATTTATTCATTTATTTTTAAATTGACAGATAAAAATATATGTATTTGCCATGTACAACATGATGTTTTGAAGTATATATACATTGTGGAATGGTTAAATGCAGCTAATTAACAAATGTATTAACTCTCACAGTTATATTGTGGCAAGAATACATAACATCCACTCTTTTTAATTTTTTAAAGAACACAATGTATCTGCCTTAACTATAGTCACCATACTGTATAATAGATCTCTTGAACTTATTCCTTCTATCTAACTGTAATTGTATATCTTTTGACCATCATTTCCCCATCACCTTTCTCAACCAATCACTCCAGTGTCTGGTAACCACTATTCTATTCTCTACTGTTATGAGATAAACTATTTTAGATTAAATATGTGAGTGAGATCATGCACTATTTGTCTTTCTGTGTCTGGCTTATTTCACTTAATATAATATACTCCAGGATCATCCATGTTGTTGTTGCAAATGACAGGATTTTTTCTTCTTATGGCTGAATAATACTCCACTGTGTACATATGGCAAATTTTCTTCATTCATTCATTGATGAACACTTAGGTTGATTCTATATCTTGGCTATTGTGAATAGTGCTACAATAAACATAGGAATGCATGTTTACCTCTTTGACATACTGATTTCATTTCCTTTGGATATATACCCAATAGTGGGATTGCTGTATCATATGGTAGTTCTATTTTTAATATTTTGGAAAATCTTCATACTGTTTTCCATAATGGCTGAACCACTTTATATTCCTGCAAATGGTGTGTAAGGGTTCCCTTTCTCCACATCCTTGCCAACACTTGTTATCTTTTGTATGACCCTAATACTTTAATCCCATGCTTGAAACTGTTGCCGAATTTGACCACTGGCTTTCTTAGCAAATTATATGTTATCCATGAACAAGGTCTGAGATTTGAGCAGGAATGTCTCAGAATTGAAAAGCCTGTTTTCTCAAGTATATCCTCAGACAGGGCCATCTATCTCATAGGGAATTAGGACATATCTGATTTTTAAGGTTTGCTGTAGAAAACTATTATCAACCTAAAACTCTTCCAACTCCCAGGAGTAGCCAAAATGAAGCATAAGGAAAGTTAATGGATTCCACAATTACTCCTTTTCAATATCCATTCAATATTTTTCTTTGAAGATGGAGACAGTTTTTTGTTTAAGTATTATGGATAAATACATTTGTACATGGACCATGATGCTTAGACCCTTGTGAAATACTGCATCAAGAAATCACTTAGTGAAAGGTATTAGTGCATTTATGTATGTATTTTTTTTTTATTTTTAATGTAGCTTAGGAACTGAAAAGAAAATGAAAATTAAAAAAAGGCTGGCTCCAAAGCAAGAGAGAAGCATTTAACAGTTTTGACCCAAGCTTCAGAGCTGTTACTGGGTCATAAAGAAGATGAGGAAAAACAAAAAACTGTCATTGAAATAATTAGGAAAACCAAACAAACTACTAAGGCTGAGACCTAATAGGAACCTTTCAGAAGAAAGAAACCTCTGATAATCTGATTTTAGCATTAGCAATGACCCAGTTCTTAAGGCATCCATATGAAGCAGTGTCTCAAGGAGACCGAATAAAAACATTTTATAGGAAGTTATATCTGTTTCTAAAAGGGGAAAGCTCTCTTTCTAATTTTGTGGTAAAATTTTAACAAATATAAGTAACATATTATCTGTTCATTGTTTCCTTTAAAAATTTGGTAGTGGGAAGATGGTCTCATACCTTTGGAGAAAAACACCTCTTCAGTGATTGTCTACAGAACTGCAATCAAAGGCAAAGGATGAGATAATCACACGAAATAGATTCAGATTTCAAGATGAGAAAACAACAACAACCACCCCCCTCCCCAGGGCAATCATGCACAACCAGCAAAGCTTTTAGAGCTCAGGAAAAATACATGTGCCTCCTCCAACCATAGTTCTCATTAAGGAAATTTTCACATGATGAAGCTAGACTTCTGAGAGGGAAGTTATTCACCAAAATACAATTGTGTCCATTATCTTCCACTTACTAAGGCATAAAAGTGAACCTAGATACATTGCAAAAGTATTTTTTGCTAAACCCCAGCTATTGATTGTGAAAGAATATTGGACTGAGATCAACATCCGCTGTAGGAAGGATGTGGAAGAGGAGTGGGCAGAAATTTAATTCCTGTGCTATTCACATTCAGTATGATTTGTCTCATGTTGGATCCACTTTGCATGGTGGGCCTATCGAGTCATTAAGAAATCTGTAAACAGAATATATACTAAATTATTAGCATACTCTAGCCTGAAAAGTGTTTTGGTCTCTGTTTTGCAAAATTATTTAAAAACTGTTCTGACCAGTGGTTTTTTTTTTTGTTTTGTATTGTTTTTTTTCTTTTCTGGTCAAAGTAGCCTGCTCACAAGCAGTCCAGTGACCTCAGGCATTCTGCCAGGGACATTCAGAATGTTTGGAGGGAATTCTTAAATGTAATGTGCAGAGCTAGGAGGTGTCAGAACTTCAATAATAGGCAAAGTGAGAGAAAGCAAAGTGGGAGAAAGAGTCAAAAGGCTATTTTGACACTGGCCATTGCAATTTTTGTCCAGTTTTGTCCTAAGTGACTTCTGAACAGGCAGTAGAGGCACATTTAGAAACTTGTGGGAATGGGAATGTGCAGATCAAATTATAAAAGCTCTGCTGGATTTTATTTTTTAAGTAGAAACTGTCATTGGAAAAGCATTAGATTGGAGTTAGGAAATCTTGGTCCTAAGCAAATCAAAAGATCTGGTGCTAAGTATCCTCATCTGTAAAACAAGAACTTGGTAGCACTGGCAGGATCAGGAAAGGCAAAGTAATTACAAGCTAAATCCTAACTCTTTTTATCTGTTTTTTTTTTTATTTCAGGGGTTCTCCTTGAGATTTTATTTAATGAATAGGTTATGATTCTAAAATATCTTTAGAGACTTTTGGCTGGAAGATGTTTTCTAAGGTTCTTTCTATTTTAAAATCTAATACTCTAAATGAGAACAGTCCCTAGAGTTATTTTAAATTTGATTCTTGTAAGTCTAATAATTTTAATTGTTGTTATTAATTACATTTGCATTACTTTTCACATTATTCTATTTTAAAAACTGTTTTATGTCAACCAGATAAATGACAGTTTCTTAGTTTGAGTCAATAGATAGACTTCTGTGATTCTGTGAAATTCCTAAACCCACATGCAAAAATTTGTGAATACAGGCATATAGAAAGAGGGTCCAAGACTTTCATCATATTCTCAAAAGCTAAATGAAAGCAATAAGATTATTCCCTACTAGATGGGAGTCAAAAAGTCTGAGTCTTCAGCTGACACAGAGAGAGAGGAATCCTAATAGATGTTATGGGCTCTCCAATGAAAATGACTTCCCAGACTCCCTCTCACAATCACATCCCCTTCCCAACATTACATTGCTTGTGTGTATCCATAAAATTGCAGGCAGGAGAGGAGGTCATCAGGGTCTCCAGTGATTGTGCAACTTTCCCCTTAATCATAAATGTTCTGATATTTGAAGGATGATAAGGTCACATTCTTTGGCTTTTCATTCCAAACCTCCACAACTCTGACATGATTCTATTATACTAGGTAGAAAGAACCATGCATTCTTTACTTCTTAAATCAATAGCCTTGTTAACCTGGAGCTCTAGATGGCTCCTGAGCCTGGAGGTAAGTTTTTTAAAAAGATGTTATTCTGAAGTAATTAGGAAGAATAAGAGTAAAGAAAAACATAAATGCTTGGCTGTTCAGAAACAACTTGCCTTGAATTACTTGGACAATGACTGGGGAAGACTTCATTTTTTTTTTTAGTGCATTTTCAATTCTATTTCATATTGGATATTTGTGTGACTGTTAACATTATAATTCAATAGCTGACCTTTCCATGATCTTTAAGTCCTGGTTCAAAGGGGGAATAACCTGGTGGGAAGATTAAGCACCCAGTAGGCAGGAACTGGGGACAGTGGTGAGGGCTATAATGGAACATCAGATGTCAGGAAGAGGCACCCAGAGACATCAAATGAAAGAATTATACATAGATGCCAGTTTCCATTGCATGGCAAAGCTGTATCATTGGAATGTTCACCCACCATCTACTTGCATAGAAAAAACAAGGCTTCTTTCATAAACTATATGCTAACTCAGACACTGTGCACCAAGCAGAAAAACAATGGGGCATGAAATAAACAATCAAAAACACTTATTTCACTAGAACTGAGAGATGATTCAAGATACTATGAGACTTCTCAGAATTTAAAACTTCTATCTCTTCTTTCATTTCAGATGCTGCACAATAAACATGTCATGGTCCGTGTGGGAGGAGGATGGGAAACCTTTGCAGGGTATTTGTTAAAACACGACCCCTGCCGAATGCTGCAGATCTCTCGTGTGGATGGCAAAACATCCCCCATCCAAAGCAAATCTCCAACTCTCAAGGACATGAATCCAGACAATTACTTGGTGGTCTCCGCAAATTATAAGGCTAAGAAGGAGATTAAATGAAACTAACTGGTCACTATAAGGGGACTCTCATAATGGCCTGTATCCACTTCTCCAGTGTAGTCAGTTTAGTTCACATGCTCTGAAAACTACTTTGGAAAAAAGTGTAACAGACAGAAAAATGTCAACATACTGAAAAATGTTCAAAGAGTAGCACTATTTATTTTTAATGCTTCTGTAGGATATCACCTATTAAAAGAAATTATAAACTCAAATTTAAATTAGACAAATTATAGGCAAATTATTATTTCTCAATATGTGAATACAGTATTTAGAACATAAACATTAGGAACACAATTCTGGCTAAAGATAAAAACTTGTTAGGGGAAAACATTTAGAATTCACAGATAAGTCAACAGAAAGTGCCTGCTTTATGTCCATGAGTAAAAGCACCCCAGACATTTTTATAATTGTGGGATTTTTAAGCTGTTTTTTACAAAATGATAATTAGTATGATAATGTGCTACTTAAAATATCCAACAGCACTACAAATAAATACAGAGTATTCACAGCAGTAATACTTTACTGGAAAGGCCACTTCGGAAAAGTTTACATTCACTTGGAAGATTGCCTTAAAGTTTATCTCTTATCTATGACCAAATATCTGGGGTACTTTTGGAAGTTTTCAGTACACCCCCTTAGAGAGTAGCTTATGAATTGTTTCACACATTCCTAAGCACATGGCTGTGTTTAGAATGACTTAGTATAATTCACATACATAAGCTGACATACGTTTATATTTTGACAAGTAAATTGTACAGTCAAATGTTCATTGATTTCATGTTATTTTAAAGCATTTTATTGAAATATATCTTTAGTTAATCCTATTTTGCTATGCTGTCTAGTAAAGTAAATTCACTGTAGCTAATGATGTTACAGACTTATGTATACCCTTGTATACCTGGGACAGGGCTGTTTTGTAGCAATAAACAGCAAACTATTGTCCTCGCTGATTCAAGAATTAAAAAGATAAAATTCAAAAAATGTTATTTGTCTCTATATCAATGGCTCATTCTGAAACAAAGTTAATCTTCAAATGGCAACTTTTCTTGAGAATTATAAAAAGTCTAGCACTTCTACACTTTGGGATATGAATGATGGTGGTATTTTTTTCTCCTTAGCAGAGGGTTTAGATTTGATCATAGGTAGTACCTTAAGTGCTGCCCTGAGTATAAAAAATATAGGCAGAATTAATTTTTCATTTCTTTATTTTTCAACATCAATAAAAAGTCCACTTTTCTTGCTGCTTCTACCTTCTACTAAATGGCCAATTTATTCAAAACATTACATAACCTGTTAACTGAGAAGTTTTAAAATAACAGACATGGTTGAATTTTGTGGTGCTGGAAGTGGTGATAATAATTCTGGGGAAAAAATGTCAGTGAAACCTAAAAAAATTAATAAAACCTAAAAGTTTTTATAGGAGACAAAATCACCTTGGTAAAGTACATAATTCTAATATCTTTTAAAATATAATATTGAGTGATTAAATCTTTTTACCAAACTAATATTAACAAAATTTCTCTGTATAATTATTCACAGTATTTCCATCAACACTTTCTCCTGTGCTTAAATTTTTCCCACAAACATATTTATATATTTAATAATGAAAATTATTTTCATTAATTTAGTTTAAAAAAGGAAGTATAGCTTAAAAAATAGTATTCATCTCTTTATTGCATTGGTTACCTATTACTGCCTTAAATTACCAAAAATTTGGTAGCTTAATCAGCACAGATTTATTATCTTACAGTTCTATAGTCAAAGTCCAACATGATATCACTGGGCTAAAATCAAAGTGTCTTCAAGGGTGTATTCCCTTCTGAAGAGTCTAGGAGAGAATCCATTTTCTTGCCTCTTCTACCTTCTTCAATTTACCTGCATCCCTTAGCTCTCATGTACATGTCCCACCATGTTAAAAAAACCCCGCATAATAGCATCTCTCTGACCCTTCCTTTTCACAGCTCTTTCTCTGAACATAGGTTGGAAAGGTTTTCTGCTTTTAGGAATCCTGTAATTAGACTAGGTCCACCTGGATAATCCACTTTAAGATCATTAACTTGTACACATTATATGGCCTTTGTCATGTAAGATAACATATTCACAAGTCTCAGGGATTAGGACATGAACATATTTTGGGGAGGGAGGGGAGGATTATTATGTTCATACAACATCTAAGATGGTCTTTTAAGTGTCACTAAGAACATAGCCACAACTGATGTTGGGGTCTAGCTGCTCGCTGATCATCACTGAGCAGGGCTGACTCATTGAATCCTTACTGAAGACAGGCCAGGCACTAGACTGAAGTGGAATAGTGTCACCTTACTCCCAGCTGGATGTGACATCCAAGGAAGAATAATGGAGATGGGGTCCCATACCAAATGAATAAAGGATTAAATTCTAAGTAGTCCAGAAATCTGATTATGAACAGAGAAGAAGAATCCAAAAGAAGTCCAAGTAAATAAACAGTGAAAAGGCCACAGTCAGAAGTATATCAACACATTGAACAGAGTAGGCTAATTCTGAAGTTATTAAGTGATCCCCTTGCTATCAGATTCAGTTTCTTCTGATATGGGTGGGGGCAAATCCTACATAATCCCAAAAGGATATATGGTAAGGTGTTTGAATCCATGACATATAAGGAATCATTTCAGGAACCCTGGGAGGAGTTCATTTTTGACTGTTGGGAAATGACTTGGAGGAGCTGTCTAGAGATTGCTTTGTAGCAAAAGGATAGATGCAGGGTGAATGAGTGGAATACTCTGAGTCACCAAGGTAGCTCAAAAGAAAGAACTTTTTAAAGAAAACTATCCAAGATGTAGTGCCTGCCTCACAAGTGCTGGACACTTTGTGACTAAAAGGCAATACTGATTGGATGTCAACTTCACCAAAGATGTTACAAAAAAAGAACATTTAAACACTGCATGTGTAAACTAAATTTAAACTAATTTGTGATTCATTTTTTCTCAGATTCCTTTCTGTAGGCCACGTTTTATAAAAATATCTTTGTCCTCATGGTTTCTCAAGAGCATTGACTATCTCTCTCAGAGCATGAAATCAGTTTTTCTAGACCTACAAGGAAGGAAATGATCAACTCTATATCTAGAGTGCAAAGTATCTTCATGGTAACCATGAAGTTATGAAATCTTGTAATCCTCTCTTTTTACACGTAAGGGCCATAAGGCCTCAGCAAGTTTAAATAATTTGCCTAAGGTCAAACAGTTAATGGCTCTAATTCCAATGCTATTTTTTCTTAAAATTCTGATATTCCATGACTCTTAATCAGAGTGGGGTAAAACTGGTCAAACCTCAACCCTGATTCATAGAAACTCAAAAGGGGAAATATTAAAAATTATATCAAATCATCTTACTTCACAGGTGATGAAATTAACTGAAGTCTCCCAAAGTTAAACATCAATGTTAAACACGAGTCTAGAATTCATGCCTTCAGATGCACAATATTATTTTTATGATCTCTAGTGTTAAAATCTTTGTGCATAAAAAGAATCCTAAAAGCTGAGAGTTGGAATGAATCTTGAAGTCCTTAGATTAATGGCCTGAATGGTAACTGCTATATCACATTGCTAAATCGTGTGCTTACCTTATTTTAGGCCTTTTGGGAAATTTATGTTCATCATTTTCAGAAGAATCCAACTATTTTCAAAATGGTTGTACTATTTCCTCTTCCCCCAGCCATGTAGTTCCAGTTTCTCTATGTCCTTCCCAACAATTAGTATTGCCACATTGATTGACTATAGCCATTGGAGGGAAAAGGAGCTGATATATTTTTGGTTTTAATTTGCATTTTTCCAATGACTAATAATGCTGAGCACCTAAGTAGTAATGCTTATTCTAAAGTTTCTTTGGTGAAATACTTTTCAAATCTTTTGTGCATTTTTAATTATGGTACCTTATTAAATTGTAGTAGTTGTGTATATTCTGGATATAATCATACTTACCGGATATATAATTGCAAGTATTTTCCCAATCTGTGATTTGCCTTTTCACTTTTAATATTACTTTTGAAGTACAAAAGTTTTAAATTTATATGAAGTTCTATTTACATTTTTTCCTTCATGAATCATGTTTAGTGTCATATCTAAGAAATCTTTGCCTAACTCAAAGTCATAAAGAATTTTTTCTATGTATTCATCTAGAAGGTTCATGGTTTTAGTACTTACAATCTGCTGTAAGAAAATTTTGAGTTAATTTTTGTCAATAATGTGAAGTAAATTTCAATTTTATTGGTATATGGCTATTCAGTTTTCCTGGAAGCATTTTTTGAAAATATTTCCTTGTTATTTTTGTTGAAAATGTAACAGTTTATTTATGATTATTAAATTCTGTTTCATTGATGTAAATATCTCTTCTTAGGTAATGCCACACTACCTTGACTACTATGGCTTTATAGTACATTTTGAGTCAGGTAGTATAAATCCTTTGAAGTCATTTTGGTCAGGTAGTATAAATCCTCCTTTTTTTTCCAAAATTCTTTTGGCTATCCTCCTAAATCTTGCATTTCCCTATAAATTTAAGGATTATCTTATCAATTTATCTAAAAAGGCTTGCTGGGATTTTACACTGTATATATTGTTCAATTTGATAACTAGCATCTTCACAATATTGAAGCTTTCATCTATAAATATTCGATGTCTCATCTTGGCAATGTTTTCTGGAGTTTAGTGTCCAGAGATTTTCTTGTTTTATTTTTCCTAAGTTTTTAATTCTATTTGTTGATACTCTGAAATTTTCTTATTTTCATTTTTAGATTGCACATTGCTTGCACATAGAAATATAATTGACTTTCATATATGTATTTTGTATTCTATAACCTTGCTAAAGTCATTTATTAGTTTTATAAGTTTTTGTGTAGATAGCTAAGAATTTTCTACCTATGTGGTGCTTGCTATTCTTATAACCTACTTTAAATATATCTGTTCATTATAATCTATCTATATCTAACAAATGTAGAAAGAAATAAGGAAATTTTAGGAATTAGGTAAAAAAAGAAGTACTTAAGATAACTCCTTGACTTCTGACTTATGTAACAAGATAAAATTTTAGAGAAATAGCTAGAAAGAGCTAGTCTGTGTATAAAATTAATTAGTTCTATTTGAGATAAGTTTGAAGTACTTGCAAAGAATGGCTCAATCCTGTTTTTGAAACTACAGGACATTAACTCAAAACTCAACACATGTCAAGTATAGTGCTATAAAAACAGTCAATGCAATTCAGGATATAACAAAAGTATCATATGCAGGTCCAGGAACTTATGAATATTCAGTTCTAAGGCCATTGTGTTCACATCCAGAAGCAGTATTTGCAAGATGAAGCATAACTAGAAGAAGGAGAATAGGGTAATAAAAAGCCATGTCAAATGAGAAACAAAGTGTTTGAGTTATTAGAACACAAACTTGTCTGCATCAAACCAAAACTTCTTCAATGTCTGCTATACACAAAAATACCCTGCACAGCAGTTTTTGAGAAAAATCAAAGAACAGGGCCACAGTACCATAATTTAATTAGCTTACGGCATTTACAGTACTTAAAAGAATTTGAGATGCCTGGAAAGGATGTTAAAGAAATATACCTTAAATTTCAACATAGATAGGCAGGCATATCTATCTGCCTCTTAGTGATCTATTTATGCAAAATCATTAGATTTCTCAAAGAACTAAAAGTAGACCCCAACATTTGATTCAGCAATCCCACTACTGGGTATCTACCCAAAGATACACTGATGGAATATATCTCAAAATTATAAAAGCCATATATGACAAACCCACAACCAACATTATACTGAATAGGGAAAAATGAAAAAGTTGCATTTCCACTTAGAACTGGAACAAGACAAGGATGCCCACTCTCATCACTTTTATTCAACATAGTGCTATTAGTCTAAGCCAGAGCAATCAGGCAGGAGAAGGGAATGAAGGGTATCCAAATGGGGAAAGAGGGGGTCAAACTCTTGGTCTTTAATAAT